CTGCGATCTCCGCGTCTTTCCCCAGAGTCGGCGCGTCTCCAGACTGAGTCCCCCGTCCTATTAGCGGTGACCCCTTCACAGCCTCCTCCTGGGGACCAATCTATGGGAGATGAGATCGCAGCACAAAAGCCACCTCCCTCCCTGGGGAGGGTTCATGGGGGGGGCCTGGGGAAAAATAAGCCTTGGACCCAAACAAACTCTTTTTGCCACTTTAAGAGGGCGCGACTCACCCCCATGGCGCCTCCTGCTGGTCGTTTGGGGAATCGGTTCAGTCCTGCGCCCCCTTCCGGCCGGTGTCTCGCCTGCTGTTCCCTGCTGCTCCGCACCACCTTGTCCACAGCAGGAGGAAGGACGCCGCCAGCTCTTCCTGCAGCCAGATGGGGGCCAGACCCCAGGGCCTGTCCCAGAATCGGGGCCGGGGACAGGATGCTGCCTGACTGGGGCCTTGATGGCCAGGCTGCCGCAGGAGCAGCCGCACTGGAGCCTCGGCCCCAGCTCTGGCACACGGAGCAAGCCACCTGCCATACGGCCCGCCCTGGCTGCAGCTCCAGCACCAGGGACGCTGGTGGTGGCTGCCCGGCTGCCCCCAGCCAGGTCCCTTCCAGACTGCAGAGCTGTTCCCCCAGGGTGCTGCCCTGCCACAGTGCCCACATGCTCTGGGGTCCTCCCCCTCAGGGGACCTCCAACCCCCTTTGCCCACCCTGCCTCAGGGACACACTGCCAGGCAGCATCTAGCCCCTCTCTCGGGGGCCTCCTGCAGTCTGATGTGGCCTCTCCTCATTGGCAAGGAGGTGTGGTCCTGCTGCCTTCTCCCCTGGCTGCCTCCTGGAGCCCTAGTGCTCTCAGACCCCTGTATCAGGCCAGCAGCCTGAGAGTTGGGTCAGGGGAGAGCTCCCCAGCTCTACCTGCCTCTCCCCAGCTCCGCTCTGCCTCAGGTCCCCTCTGTAGCTTCCCTGGCAGCCAGGTCCCTCCTGCTCCACCACTGGAGCAAGCAAGTCTGTTTCCCTCCTCCTCAGGAATCCCTAATTAAACAGCCCCAGCTGGGTTCTATGTGGCTGCCGACCAGGCAGCCTCCCCAGCCTGGCTTTAACCCTTATAGGGCCAGTGCAGGGTAGCTGTCCCATCACAGGCAGCCCTTCCAAAACAGGGACTGGGGAGTATAATGTATGGGCTGGGAAGGACTGGGAGCTGCCCAGGTTGTGCCCGCTGTGGAAAGAATAATGAATAGTCCTGTGGCACCTTAGAGACTGAGAACATTCGTCTATTCTGAGGGACTGAAGTGGTACTGGGTGTAATTTTATCTGCCCCCTGAATTCAAATAACAATCAGCCTGATCTGTCTGCTCCAACTCTAGGGGTAGATCCACAGGACAGATTTGGGCAACCAACACGTCATATTCCGTGACTCGAAGCAGTACCACTTAGCGAATTTCTGAGTGGTCACTCGCTCCCGTTTATCACAACTTACGACGAGTGGCACTGTCGCAGCATCTTGCAAGTTCTTTTCATTGAGGTGTGAGCCTTGGAAGCCGTGCTGGGTGGTTAGGTGTTTTTTGAAGGAGTTTCTCTTTGGGGGAGCTGTTGTAAGCAGCAAGGGAATTTGTTTCTGCCGTTATCTGTCCAGCTGGAATTGATTCTTTGAGGCAGAGTTGTTCCCTGGAACCTAGATATTGGAATTGGGCTGAGATTGGTGGATGAGGAGGATTGCCTGCATGCTGTTGTGACCATCTCTGTGCAAGGACTGGCACGTCTAGGGTGAATAAACAAAGATACACCCAGACACACTGATTTCTACTCCAACAGGAAACGAGGCTGCAAACCCACAGGCATCTGAGACAGCTCATCAAAGGGGTGACAAAATCCATATCAGAGTGCAATGCAAAGCTGCAAGCTTAGGGGACATTTCTGCTACCCTTTCTTAGTTTGCCACCATATCAGCACCCTACCCTCAAGAGTTCTCAGCTCAGCGTTAAGCCGGTGTTCTTCTAGAAACACCGTGCCTCCATAGCCTCATCTTATTTCCAATGGAGGGGGGAAGGGTCGTCCTCTGGAAGGCCCCATTACTCCAGCATAAACAACAGCAGAGTTTGGCCCCAAATATGCAGCTCTCCTTATACGTGCACGCAGATCTTTGGGACTGCCGCTGCAAAAGTTAATTAAAACAGTAACGATGCTCCCTGCGCCCGCGCAAAGACCCATTTAATCAATTAACACTGTATAATTAGGTGTCAGGCTGTTTGCAACACGCCAAGTTTTTAGCATTTGAGTCATTCATGAATCATCCGTGTGTCACAGTCACATCGGAAAGCCCCAAGCGAGACCACAGCCCCGCTGTGCTAGGTGCAGGACAGACACAGCGCCAAAGAGCTCCCGGTCCACATGGGCCAGACAGACAAGTGATGGGAGAAAGGTGCTTCTGAAAGCCTCGCCCAACTACCCTGCCTGGGTGCCTAAGCTTCTCTTTCAAGAGTGACTTAGGAGCTGAATTTTTAGTGAAGGGTTATGGGATTTAGGTTCTTAAGTCACTTCTGAAAATGGTCCTTAGGTTCATGTCACTTAGTTTAAAATTTTCAAAGGCACCTATCATCTCTGTTTTACAGATGGGGAAAATGAGCCCCCCTCCTACCCCTCTCCCCCAAGAGATTAAATGATTCACCCATGGCCACATATGGAGTCTGTGGCAGAGCCAATGGTTTAACTCAGGTTTCCGGAGACCCAGTTTAGTGCCTTAACCACAGAGCCATCCTTGCTGACTTCCATGAAGCAAAAACAGCCTGGAGAGGTGTAATCCGACCCCTGTCCCCCGTACACCTCAGTGACAGCTCAAAACCAGCCAGGACTTTCCTCAGACGTTGTCAGGATTCTCTTTTAGGCGAAGCCCCAACATGGAAAGATACAGCCCAGAGCGTAACTTTCAATTCTCAGAAAGGTTATGAGCCACTGAAACCAGTGGGTCCCTCATGCAAGTTGCTCTGAATCCTGGGCCCCAGTCCTGCCATCGGGCCTAAAATCTGTTCTCCTTATGGACGTGTCTGGGAATCTGCAGGAGGTTGTAAGGCCAGCACTTCAACAGGGTTCCAAAAGGAGCTAGATACATTCATGGAGGTTAGGTCCGTCAGTGGCGATTAGCCAGGATGGGTAGGGATATGTCCCTGGCCTCTGTTTGTCAGATGCTGGGGATGGGCGACAGGGGAGGGATCACTTGCTGATTCCCTGTTGTGTTCATTCCCTCTGGGCACCTGGCACTGGCCACTGTCGGCTGACAGGACACTGGGCTAGATGGACCTTTGGTCTGACCCATCTGGCCGCTCTTATGGAACACTCTTCAGTCAGTCGTGGCTCTTTGCAAATATAATTTTCAGCCCCCCCCCCGGCTCTCACCTTTCCCAGGGGAGGGATCACTTGCTGATTCCCTGTTGTGTTCATTCCCTCTGGGCACCTGGCACTGGCCACTGTCGGCTGACAGGACACTGGGCTAGATGGACCTTTGGTCTGACCCATCTGGCCGCTCTTATGGAACACTCTTCAGTCAGTCGTGGCTCTTTGCAAATATAATTTTCAGCCCCCCCCCCGGCTCTCACCTTTCCCCCCCCAAAAGGCCCGCAAACCGCCCCTTCTTTCCCTTATAAATGCACACTCCTG